TTATGAGGATTTTTGTTGTCCTTATGTTGAGGTATAATCCATAATGAAGACTGTAGTTTTTGATCTTCATTAGTAAATGCTTTATATCCTCTTTGCTTTCAGCAAGGGTGTGTCATCTGCATTTCACAGGTTGTTAAAGAGTCTTCTTCCAATCCTGATGCCATGTGCTTCTTCGTATAACCCAGCTTCTTAGTTTATTTGCTCAGCGCACAGATTGTATAAGTATGGTGAAAGGACAACCCTGACAAATCTCTCCTTATTTTAAACCATACAATAATCCCTTTTCTGTTCAAAAGACTGCCTCTTGGTCTTTGTAAAGGTTTTGCATGAGTACAATTAAGAGTTCTGGGATCTCCATTCTCCATAAAGACAGCCATACTCATTTTATGATACACGCAGTCAAATGCCTTTGCAAAGTCAAAAAGTACAAGTTTTCTACTTTCAGCCATGATCCATGTGACATCAGCAATGATCTTTCATTTCATGTCTTCTTCTGAATCTGGCTTGACTTTCTGGCAGTTCCCTATGTACTACTGCAACTAGTTTTGAATTATCTTCAGGAAAAAAAAAAATGTGTGTGATATTAATGATATTATTCAATAATTACTGCATTCTCTTGGATCACCTTTCTTTGAAATGGGCGCAAATATGACTTTTTTCAAGTCAGCTGGCCGGGTAGCTGTATTCCAAATATCTTGGCATAGGTGAATGAGTGCTTCCAGCATTTCATCCATTTGTTTAAACAGTTCAATTGGTAATCTATCAATTTCTGGAGTCCTGTTTTCCACCAATGCCGTCAGTGCAGTTTGGGCTTCTTCCTTCGATATTATCAGTTCTTGATCAAAGGCTGCCTCCTGAAATGATTCCACATTGACCAGTTCTTTTTGGTACAGTGACTCTGTATTCCTCTCATCTTCTTTTGATACTTTCAGAGTCATTCACCATTTTGCCCAAAGAATTCTACAATAGTATATTGAGGTTTGATTTTTTTTTTTTTTTTTTTAGTTATTTCAGCTTGACAGATGCTGGGTGTGTTCTCCCGTTTCTATTGTTGCTGCTCATTTGTTTGTTTTTAACTCCAGGTCTTTGCATGTTTCATTACAACACTTTATTTTATCTTCTGGAGCCACCCTTTGAATCTTCACTTCAGCTCTTTACTTCATCATTTCTTCCATTCACTTTAGCTATGTTTTAAAGCAAGTTTCAGAGTATCCTCAGACATCAGATTTGGTCTTTTCTTTCTTTCCTGTCTTTTTAATGACATTTTGCTTTCTTGAAGTATGACGTCCTTGATGTCATCCCACAACTCATCTGGTCTTTAGTGTTTATTAGTGTCAATGCATGGAGTCTATACTTGATAATGTCTCTAAAATCAGAATGCATATACTCAAGGTCATACTTTGGCTCTCGTAGACTTGTTTTAATTTCTTCAGCTTTAAGTTTACTTATATATGAGTAACTGATAATCTGCTGCATAATTGGCCCTTGGTCATGTTTGGACTGATGATCTTGAGTTTTTCCATTACCTCTTTCCACAGATGTAGTCTATTTGATTCCCATATATTCTATCCAGTGAGGTCCATGTTTATAGTTGCCATTATGTAGTTGAAAAAAGCTTTTTCCAATTAATAAGTTGTTGGTCTTACAAAATTCTATCATGTGATCTTTGGCATCATTTCTATCAAAAAGGACATATTTTCCAACTATCCATCGTTCTTTGTTTCCAACTTTTTCA